CTGTAGACTTCGGACTGATTTCGAGTTCCATACCTGAGTTCTAGAGCATCTACCAGTGCTCTATAGTTGTGCCTGTCGTCTGCAAGACAACTCTCCAAGTATTTCCAGTTATTGTCCCTTCAGGCTCGTTGCCAGATACACTGCTTTCTGCTCCTCTGTCCATCCATTCATTTCTATCAGGAGCTCAATCTGTGCTCTATATGCTTTTCATGGCGCCTTCCCATCGAATTACTGTGGCTTCCTTCGTACTAGATCACCCCTATTGCTGATACTCATGTCTGAAATGTGACTTGGCTGGCAAGACTGAAGATGTCTGCATTAGGGTTTAGCTGTGGGTCTGGAACTTTCTGTTGTCTGGGGCTGATTAGGTCCATGGTTAATATATCCTCCCTGTGTAAAAGACAGTAAATCGTCCTTTAATATATTTAATTCACTTCGAAATTTTCTAATCTTTTCCATTTGTACTTCTTGTTTCCTTTCTTGTTGCAGTTGCCAGTGGTGCTGGTTTTCTTGCCATTGTTATAGTCTCTCTTCTTGTTTTTTTTCTTTCTCCTCCAACCAATGCTGTAGTCTCTCTCCTTGTTCATTTTCTTTTTCCTCCAACAACTGCTGTAATCTCTCTTGTTTCTTTTCTTGTTTATTTTCTCGTTCTTCTCGTTTCTTTTGCTGTTCTTGGATTACTGCCATCAAATCTGCTAAGTCGTAGTTTGATTTGCCACTTCTCATTTCCATCTTTTCTTTTTCTTTTCATCCCACTCTCTGACACGAATTTGTTACGTATCTGCTTGTTTGTTAATTTCCGGTAGAAATTCTTTCCAAAGAACTTCAGCGATACAAGTCCTAAAGCTAGTTTATTCTTTCTTGATACAACTTTTAGTAATACACAGAATTTCCACAGTCACTTTAAACTTAACTACTTTTATAAACACATACTATAATTCACACACTTTATTTACAGTGCCTACTGTTCGCTTGACTCAATTATCTATACCTCCGATAACGCTGGTTTTTCTTGTCAGGCTTATATACTAAAAAAAAGAGGGCATCTAGCAAACACTCTGACATTCGCGGGGTTACTCAATAATTCACGATTTTTCCAGAAACTCCAGCACGCATGCTCCCAGAATCACGCGACTTCCGTAACAATACCATATTGAAGGGCTCCGTAACAGGTCATGGCATATGCACTTTGAGCCCTCTCCTGTGTACACAGGGTTAAAGTGATTATTTAAAAAATTAAACATATGAAGTACCACTCTATAACGGTAGATCACACTCCTAATATACCATAACAATACCGTCTTATGAACAACTAACTGTATCACTGTCAAGTTTCGTGCTGATTGATCAAGAAATGTGGAAGACAAACTTAGCTTTATATATATATATTAGATGAATATCCACGGAAAAAGGGGGGGGGGTTAAATGTTGAAGAAAATTACACTTCCTTCATTACTGTCTACGAGGCCACACACACACGCAGGTCTATCAGAGGTTGTTCTTGAAGACCTTATGGAATACCTTCAAAGATTACAGAGGTCAGGGGATGGCAATAATATATAAGAGGCCAACAGAAAAAAAGAAAAATGTGCAAGATAGGTTGATGTAATTTAATTAAATAAATAAATATATATATATGTTTTTTCCTGCAGCTGCCATTCGAGTAACTTTTT